TTGGGTGAGATGGTTTAGTGTGAGGTGTCCCTGCCCATGGCAGGGGGGTTGGAACTAGATGATCTCAAGGTCCTTTCCAACCCTAACTATTCTATAATTCTATGAAAGAATGTAAACCCCACGGGTTGAGACAAGAACAGTCCAATAAATAAAGTATAATAACAAAGCTACTACTAAGTGAAATAACAAGGGAAGGGAACACTAAACAAGGAAACGGGGAAAGGAATAAAACCAACAAACCGCAGCAGTGCACAATACAATTGCTCACCACCTGCTGACCAATACCCAACCTGATTATATCAGCAGCTGATCTCTTCTGGGTAACACCTCCAGTTTATACACTGGGCATGACATGCTGCAGTATGGAATACCCCTTTGGCTACTCTGGGTCAGATGTCCTGCCTCTGTTCCCTCCTAGCTTCTCACTGCCCCTCCTCACTGGCAGAGCATGAGACTGAAAAGTCCTAGATCAGGGTATTAATGAGCAACTACAATCAATGTGTTGCCCAGCACTGTTCTGAAGCCAAAACACAGCAATGCACCAGCTACTAGGAAGGAGAAAAATAACTGTTACAGCTGAACCCATGACAGCGTCATAGAATCGTAACATAAATCACAGACTGGTTTAGTTTGGAAGGGACCTTCAAGGTATCTTTACTTGAAGGGGCTGATCAAGTCTTAACTCCCAGTCATGCAACTGTTCTCACTGAAAGACACCTGTGCTGCTTCTGCATCTCCACAGTAATTTAAAAACAGAGACATTAAAACATACCAAAAATCTGTGAAAGATCAAACACGGGTCAGGCACCCTGAACAAAAGAAACAGGTGAATACTAAATGAAAGCAAGAGTTACATTTGATATGATTTGCATTCAAGCACTTCACAACTTGTAATCTGTTAATTTTCTCCATGCAGCAATACATAGCTTCAAGGATGTAGAGCAAGCTGAGCAACACACATACAACATTAGAAGTTCTATCAGCCACAGGGGCTGAGTGTCAAGGCATCTATCTGCCTTCAGGAAATGCAGAAATTTTGTTCCAAGGCTTTTGTCTCCTCCATCATATAACTCATTCTGTAATATGAAAACTTACATGCTTACATGAAAGCCACCTTTACACATACACCTGTGGAAAGCAAAAAATTTATCTTTGTAATTCTGCAACAAATCACAAAATGTATCAGGCCATCTTTCAGAACATTAACACTGAATTAATGGCAATAGACAATCTTTGTTTTTGTGGCTCATCTACTGGCACATTTCCCCTTCACAACTACACCCCTCAGCTGCGCTTCCAGAAGCTGAGCAACAGCACAGTGAAATTAAAGCTGGTTCATTTCCCCACTGCAACCACAGGGTAACATTGAGCTTCAGGAGAGGAGGGGGAAAAAAAAAAAAAAAAACCACCACAAACACACCACACAACACAACAGTGTTGCTGTGCTGTCCGTTTACCTCCCTGCATCAGCCACAAAGTTTCCAAGCCTTTCAATTTTTCTCCATGCTATAGCTAAAAGTAAGGCTCAACACAAACTCTAGATAGGACAAACTGATCAGAACACCAGCACAAAAAGAAAAGAAAGCTGATATTACTGCAGTGACTCCATGAACTTGTGGATGAAGTCCAATCCAATATATTTTGATGTCTCTGCCTCCTGACTAGGATAGGAAAAAAAAATAAACACAGCGCAACTATAACATGTACATCCAGTCTTCTCAGGTATCATTTTATTAAAAATAAATGCCAGCATCCAGAAGTCAGAAGACAAGACCAAAGGTCTGCCTCTGGTCTATCAAACTTACTTCATATCACTCAGCTAATCTTAAATGCAGTGCTAGGACAGTAACAGCAACACTACATTTAGTATCAACATTATTAAAAGCTAACATGTACATTATTACAACAACCAAAGCAAACGTAGGACTCCTTACAGCAAGGGAAGAATGAGAAAAGTAAGTAAAAAACATTGAGTAAAGATGCAAGAAAAGGAGCCACTAATGCTTCAAATATTTATGAAAACCTTAATTTAAATACTTCCCCCTTCACAGAGCATTAGCTCTATGATAAAACTGACAAGCTCACTGCTGCAGGGCAGCATGTGTCCATACTTTATAGAATTCAAAGCAAACCAAGGAAGAAGATATTTAAAAGGTCATCTGTTCTAGACCTTTCTGTTTTGAAATATTTTCAAACACACCTCAAGCATCCCCAGTAAGGACTTACCCCTGTTTTTAAGAAAAGAATAAATAAAAATCCCAACTCCTCACACAACCTCAGAGAGACAGGAAGCTACCTTTGCCAAGACCTAAATGCTCTCACACACTGTCAGTTTCCAAGTATCTCACCCAAATTTCCTTCACATCAAATTAAGCTTATTTCTCTTTATTTAACACAGGAAAAGAGCATGGTCGATTTTTTCACCAATTTTCTCTTAAAAAAAAAAAAAAAGAAGTGCATCTCTGTCTCCTTTCTGAATAGAGATGTCATTCAGCTTTAGCAGAATCTTCTGACTACCTCACAAGCCACATTTCCATGACCTCTAGCTCCCCTCTGATGCCTCTCCAATTTGTCTGCTTTCTTTTAAGGAGATGCCATAGCCCACAGCATAATGCAGTACTCCAGCACAGGTTTTAAAAGTACCAAGCACAGCAGAGAACTTCCTTTCCATACTCTTCATGCACAGCTCCTGTTAACACAGCTCAAAAGGAAACCTGATGTGTTCCACTTGTCACTACTAAGCTCACTCAGTCACTTCACGTAAGTTCACTTCTTTCAATTAAGCAACAGCACTGTAAACAGGTAACAGGTACAACTAGGGGATTTATTTCGGCTTTCCAGAAATAAATAGCAGTGAAATTACAACAGTTACAGATTTGTGATACATAGCACAAAGTTTTAAAAACTTAGTGATACATAGCACAAGCTTTTGTCGTCTTCTTCACTGCATGCTTATAAACAGCTCCCTGAATTTATTTCATTCATGTGTGTCTAGGTTACAGTCAAGCTGACTGACCTTAATTCCTTAGCTCCCCTTAGACTCTAAAGGGAACAGAATTAAATTATCCTTTAGTTAACCACCCTCACCCACAAAGATTAAAGATGAAATTTTGCCCACTGTGTAACACTTTTTATTTGATTCATGTTTCAATGACCAAATGAAAAGCAAAAACAACCTGTAAGCTTGTTTGATCTGCAGAACAGCAATTCGTTTATTTCTCTCCCCCCTCCCCCTGCCATACAGATGCAGAGACCTCTTCCCCAGCCAGGGGAACACGACCAACTGGCACACTGTACTATGAACTTCCCAGCTCAGTAGGCCCTTCCGACGACCTGTAGGCCGAGTTCAGCCTGACAAAGCCTTCCATCCAATTCCATATCCTTCACTTTGGGGAGACTCTGCAACTGCTTACAGCAGAACAGCATCTGAGCAGCCCATAACAAGACACCTCTCAAGTGGCCAGCCATTACTTAGGAGTTCCTACAATGTTTCTTGTCAGACATGGGTACAGCCACTCCTGCACTAGCACAATCTGGAGGTCACAGAGGTATGAATCAAGGGAAGGAAATGGGGGGGGGGGGGGAACACAAAAAAACACACACACACACAAAAAAAAAAAAAAAAAAAAACACAACAGGATCAGGCTCCCAGGACTTCAGAGGATGAAATCTCTTGTCCTTGTATTAAGGTTTGTGTCTTCAGCACCTGCTGTGAAAAGTTTAGACTTTAGGTATACTTGTCTCACACCCTCTCATTATAATGTTGTACATCTGAAGAAAGGATTATATTTGGAATAGTCTATCTGTATCAAGACTCAGCATGTGAAGGCCTTTAAGCAGCTGTACAATCAAGTCAGAAACCTAACCAGCATGCTATGGAAACAGAAAAAAAAAACAACACCAAATAATGCAAGCAAGCAAACACACACAAAAAACTCCAACCAACAAACAAAAACAAACAACAAAAAACACCAAAGCAACAAAAAAACCCCACCAACCCCAAAACCATCAAAATAACCAACTCAATCCGTAAGTCTAGCTACTGAAAAGCAACTTTAGGGAGAAGTTACTGTTTGACAACAAAAGAGTAAAGAAAGTACTTTCTACAGTGGTGTATATCAAGAACAGGAAGAGTTACCTGTCAGACCCCTCCATTATCATGCCCTACTTTAAGTTTAGCCATCTGACCCCAGTATAAACTTCTGTAATACTGAAACACTGCTCCCCAAAACATAAAGGCACACTCGCATCAGACTATGGAAAACATCACAGGCTTCAATTACAGCCAGACTCATCTTTCTACTAAGGTTTAGCTGAAGAAAGTCATACTGACTACATCAACACAGTAGCCTAAAAATGGAAAGGTCATTCTCAAAAAAGAACAGCATTAAGGAATAACGAGACAGCAAAAAGGACAGGAAACATGTTCTTGGAAGATACAAAGTGAGGTTATGAAAACATGTAATCCAAGACAGCTACAGGCTGTGAAACTGGTAAAGCCAAAACTGACACAAAATACACAGTAACACCTTCCCCACCCCACCCCAATAGCAACATTGAGAATCTGCCTATGTAGTTATGACCTACAAAAAAGCACTAAATACAGTTGAGTGTCCCCTCGATAAGTACTCCATCAGTACAAGAAGCTACCTGCAAAGAACACAATTTAAGTAAGACTCAGGATGTTTACGGGGCAGCTTCTGCTGCACTTCTGTCGGTCTTCACCTCCAGTCAACGACTCACAACGCCGCTTACCGCTACAAACGAAAACAAAGGGGGAAAGAATACCTAAACAAAACCAGAACACCCACAAGCTCCCCTACCAATCCCCACACCCCAAGCGAGCAAGGTCGGAACGGCGGCGGGGCACTGCACTGACCCCCGCTCCCACAGCCCACCGGGCCCTCCCCGGGGCACAGGCACCTGCGACCTCCCCACTGCAGGTCCAGTACCGGGCCCCAGCGGGCAGGGAGCCGGCCTGCCCACCCGTCCCTACCCACCTTGAGGAGAATGGAAGGCGGCAGCTGGTTAATATCCGGCGGCGGCTCCCGGCAGCAGTCAGCGGGGCGCTCCAGAGGCTCCTCGCAGCCCGCCTCTCCGCCCCTCTCCTTCTCCCCTGTTGCCTCCTCCTCCTCCTCAGACGTGGAGGGCGGCGAGGCGGGTTGCTCCGCTTCGCCGCTGTCCCCGGCGCTGACCCGGGCCGGTGCGGACTCACAGCTCGCCGCGCAGCCGTCGGCTGCGGGCAGAGAGCAGAGCGGCGCCTCCGCGGGACACTGGCAGGCTGCCTCCGGCTCCGCAGCGGCGGCGGCCGCGCAGCGCGGCTGCTTGCAGGGCGGGCAGGCGGGCAGGCCGGCCCCCTTGCGCTTGCACACCATCTCCGAAGCGGCCTCGCCGGATGGTCTGGCCTCCCCCAGGAGGCCCCGCACCGGCGAGGGCAGCAGGCCCGAGAGAAGGAGGCGCTGGAAGCGGCCCCGCGGTTCCCAGGCGGCGGACGACAGGCGGAGGACGCGGCAGGAGGCACGCTGTTCCGCGGTGGCGAGGGCCGCGTAGGGCGGCGGTGGCAGGCGGGGGTCTCCGGCGGGCAGGGGCTGCTCCGAGGCGGGCGGGCTGGCGCTATGCACGATGAAGCAGAGCATGCAGGGCCCGCGCAGGAAGCAGCTCCGACTGCGCGGCGGCACCTTTCCCCCGCGGCGGCAGCGGCGGTCCCGGCTCAGGCTGCTGGCCTCCTTCGAGAGCAGGTGGCCCATATATGAGGCGGCCGAGGCGGAAGGGCCCGCGGGTGTCACCTGCGGGGCGTGGCGGCTGGCGCTGTCATGCTGTCGGCGAGGGCCGCAAGCGGCGGCGGAGCCGGGACGGGCCGGGACGCGACGGGGCTGGTTCCGGGCCGCGGCGCCGGGAGGAAGAAGCTTCCGCTACCGCCGCCCTGACCTCCCCCGGGGGCGGTGAAGGGGCGGTGCTCGGTTGCGTGGCGGTGCTGCCGCCAGCGGGCGGGCACGGAGCAGGTGGGGCACGGCCCTATGGGGCCAGCTGCCCCGGGGTTTCCCATCTGGCATTGCCTCCGCTCGCAGCCTCTCCAAGTGTCCGTGCATTGTTGGACTGCACGGTGTGTGTAAAGGCGGGTGAGTAGAGTGTTAACAGTGTATAAGCATATCATATGTATGGGCTGAGTTTTTGCAGTGGTAAGGTAACATAAGTGTGGAGACCACCACAAGTGTTCCTCCAGTTTTTGGCTGTCAGCACTGCCTTCCATCCAGCGCGCTCCAGCAAGTATCTGCTTTCTGCCTTTTTAAATCAGTGATGGGATAGAACCAGGGCCAGCACTGCACCTTTGTACCTGTGCGGTCTGCTCTGAGGATGCTCACTTCTAACTGCAGTGTTGTGTCTTGCCGCAGGTGCCCAGGGTGTATAAATCCTTGCAGATGTGGGCTGTAATGAATCATACAGTCAGCTAGGTTTGGAAAACCATGTTACTAAGGGCCTCATCTATACGGTTTTCGAGCACTTCCAGGGACAATGGTTATACCACTGCCCTTGGGCAGCCTGTTCCATTGCCTGACCCCTCTCTCAGTGAAGATTTTTTTCCTAATATCCAATCTAAACTGAGATACTGAAGTACAAAATGAAATATACTCTTTGTACATAAGTAAATTTAGTTCTGCTTTGTAGCTAAGCAACGCTGATCTTGATGGTCAGCAAGATGGTCTAGCAAGAAGGAAACATTTTGGGTAAATGTTTCTCAGTGACCAGTTAGAACTGGACTAGTGGTGGGCAGCTTCACAAGGGGACTTTCCACACCTAAAGTTCAGCCAAAGAACAAAGTGATGAAGACGATCAAGAAACTACCACCAGGGTCCCAAAGATCACTACTATGTTGTTGTGCACATGCGGAAATAGGCATAAACCTATGTAAAGTAGTTCTGGGAAATCTTATGAACATGTGTGTCATTTACTGGAAATCTGTACTGGAATATGTATATTAAGCAAAAATATAATCGCAGCCTGATTGATGCTGGGACAAGACACGTTAGGAGGAGATATCCCTCGTGTCACCCAGTGCTGCAGTAAAGAATACCTGCTTCCCATCTTAAACTTTGTTGACGTGTTCTTGGCAAGTTCTTTGAGTCAAAGCCTCCCCTGGTGCAGCTTAAGGCTGTTTCCTCTTGGCCTATCACTTGTTACCTGGGAGAAGAGACCAACCCTCACCTTAGTCCATCTTCCTTTCAGGTAGTTGTAGAGAGCAATAAGGTCCCCCTTGAGCCTTCTCTTCTCCAGACTAAACCCAACAAGTTCCCTCAGCCGTTCCCCAGATTGTGCTCCAGGCCCTTCACCAACTTCATTGCCCTTCTCTGAACCGGTACTCCATATCTCTCTTGTAGTGAGAAGTCTGGAACTAAATACAGTAATGCTTTAGTTAAGCCTCTTCTCAATGCCTACCAAAAATTATTGCATGTTTCAGCATTCAGTTCTAAATTATTGATGTAAATTGACTTAGATATACAGGTTTAAAATACATGTATAATTTTGTAAAAAGGAGGGAGAAGATAAGTTCCTGCTAGTACTACTATTAAATAACAGAGGGCAGCAGAAGAAATACACAGGATTATATACTGTGAAGCAGATCTTTTGACCTTTTGCTCAAGAACAAATTATGTTCAGATTAAGATATCTGTGACACTATTATTTTTGTTTGTTATGAACATTACTAGTCTTCAGCAGCTCAGTAAAAATGTGTTTGCTGTAAGAAAAATATTAACGATAACACTGGATAAAAGTAGAGTAGTATTTTATCTAAACTTATAAATCACTGAGATTCAGAAATCTGGCAAGGTTTATTCTCCCTCAGATTTCAAAAATGTATTTCAGTATCAAACAAAAACAACATTAAAAGAAGACAAAAGTCCAAGTCAAACTTTCAAGTCAAAGGGCATTCAGAATAAATGTTTGCAGTGTCAGATATTCAAAATAAATCTCATCTTTAAATCTGATAATGCAGTTCCAAATAGCCATTGTGACATCTTCTTTACTTATCATATAGTAGTATTTCCTACAGAAATGCTGGTGAAGGTCCCTGATTTCTGTGTCACTTTTGCGTCTGATAGTCCAATGTATATTGCCCCATTATTTTGAGATATATACACACTATACATGCACATACATTTCATATATGTCATTCTCACCATTCCTCTAATATTTACCTCAACATGATCCATCTCTATTACCTCCTTTTGAACTAAGTTGGCTTGTATATAATGTAGAGAAGGACATACGTCATCTCGCATTCTCATTCCAAAGTAATTTCACCTTTGGATAATTTTCCTACCTAATCCTTTTCATTCTTCACATGATAACTAAAGCTCAGTCCTTGAATTTGGTCTTTGGGACACTGCTTCTGAAGGTGGGTGGGGTTTTTTTGGTGTTTTTTGTTTGTTTGTATGTTTTTGCTGCAAAGACTGCAGAATAAAAGAAAACTAAGACAATTCATAGGCTACTTATTCCTTTAGTGCTCTGTCAATCAGCTGGTAATAAGATTTTGGCCCTAGAGATGACAGCACAGCTGTTCCACTGGCAGTTTTTCTTATATTAGAACCATAAATATCTGTAGAACAACTTACGCTGAGTGTAGCACATGTGATTTGTCTGTTCCAGCATGAGATGCAAGACATGAGTTTTGACTGTCCATTGAGCAGGACTGAGAAACTGAAATAGTAATGTTTAGGGAAAAGTAATCTTAGCAAAAGGTTTATGATTTTGCAAATGTAGAAGGACTTGTGGGTGATGTGGTGGTCGGCAGCTCTCTGATAAGAGTTTTCAACTCTTGGCAAAGAAGGGGGCTCAGCAGAACTGCTACTTTGGACTTCCAAAGGGCAAACCTTGGCCTCGTTAGGAGACTGGTTGACAGTCCTTTGGGAGAAAGCCCCTAGCGTCAGAGGAGTCCAGGAATGATGGACATCCTTCAAGAAGAAAATCTTGGAGGTGCAAGAGCAGGTCATGCCCATGTGCTCAAAGATGAGCTGGCGGCAAAGATCACTGACCTGGCTGAACAGAGAGCTTTGGCTGGAACTGAGGAGAAACAGGAGAGTTTATGACCTTTGGAAGAAGGGGCAAGAAGCTCAGGAGGACTACAAGAATGATACAAGGCCATGCAGGGAGAAAATCAGAAGGGCTAAAGCCCAACTGGAACTTAATCTGTCTACTGTGGTAAAAGAAAATAAAAAAATGTTTCTATAAATACATCAGCAACAAAAGATGGGCTAAGGATATTGGGGAAAATGATGACATAATGACAAAGGTTTAGGGAAAGGCTGAGATACTTAATGCCGTTTTTGCCTTGGTCTTCAGTTACTAAGACTGTTCTCAAGCCTCTTGAGCTGGAAGACAGAGACAGGGGGAGCAGAATGAAGCCCCCATAATACAAGGGGAAGTGGTCAACAACCTGCTATACCACTTAGACACACAAGTCTATAGGGCTGCTCATGGAAAAAGACCTGGGGTGCTGATTGATAGAGCTGAACATGAGCGAGCTTATGGCCAGGCAGCCAAGAAGGCTAGCAGTATCCTGGCCTGTTTCAGCAATAGTGTGGCCAGCAGGGCCAGGGCAGTGATCGTCCCCCTGTACTGGTCACTGGTGAGGCTGCACCTCAAATTCTGCATTTAGTTTTGGGAGCTGGAGAAAAGGAGGCTGAGGGGAGACCTTATCGCTCTCTACAAGTGCCAGAAAGAAGGTTGTAGCAAAGTGGGTGTCAGCCTCTTCATCCAAGTAGCAAATGATAGGATAAGAGAAGTTTTAGACTGGATATTAAGATAAACCAAAAGGGTTGTCAAGCACTGGAACATGCTGCCCAGTGAGGTGGTTGAGTCTCCATCCCTGGAGGTAATTTAAGAGAGGTGTAGATGTGACACTTAGACTCATGGTTTAGAGGTGGACTTGTCAGTGTTCAGTTAGCAGTTGGACTTGATGATCCTACAGGTCTTTTCAAGCCAAAATGATTCTACGATTCTGTATTTTTGTATTATCTCAGCTGTGAATGCTGTTTAGGAACTGAGACTGTGTTTATAGCTTGTTCATAGATTTTGTAAATCCGAATTTACCTGTGAAAGTGGTTGACTGGTTATGCCCCATTTTCAGTAGAGCTATACCAGCAAAAACTTTCTGCTGTTCTAGTCAAATGGTTTATGATAATAAGCAAGGAAAGAGCATTCCCCACCCTCCCACCCCACTTCCCTTCTGTCCTGGGTTCACAGAATGGTTTGGGTTGGAAAGGACCTTAAAGTCATCTAGTTCCAACCCGCTTGGGCACATTAAACCGTGTCACATTAATCACTGAGGATGCTTTTCTTACTCAGCATTCTGAGGATTTTGAATAAGAGAAGTTGGGGAGATACTTTTTCTGTTTGCTTTTAGTTAGTTAGTTAGTTAGTTAGTTAGTTTGTTTGTTTGTTTGTTTGTTTGTTTAAGAAAATCTTTTTCATCCTCCAAGTGCTTGACCAAAAGCCAGACAGAGTAAGCAGAACTTGTAGGAGATCAGAAGAAGAGTGAGGTTAACACAATATTCAAATCAGGGACAGGTTATCTAATCAGAGTTAACTAGTCTTTCACTTAATCTGATATAAATTCTTTTGATAGTAGATCTATTAGAATTGAACTTTTCAAAGTTACTTCAGCTAGTAAAAGAAACCCTGGGTTTAAAAGTACTACCGAAAATAATTACACTGGTTAAGAATGCTGGCCAGTGTCAATCCATAACAGAGGTAAAACATAAACTCACTGTCAGTAACATTACAGATAGCACAAAAATGTGTGACATGACAAATCATGACTGAACAGTCACAAAAAATACCATAAGAATTATCACTTACTTTTTTTTTTCTTCTTTTCCCAGAATTAAATACAATTTTGTACAGTGGTGGGGTTTTGGTTTTTGGTTAGTTTTCTTTTTTTCTTTTTTTTTTTCTTTTCCTTCTATAGATTTATAGACAAATTGTTTTTATCTGTGAAAAGCCCAGTTCTTGG